GTGTGTGTGTGTGTGTGTGTGTGTGTGTGTGTGTGTGTGTGTGTGTGTGAAAACTGTGACCACCATCGCCAAGGCAATGAGGTGGAAGTGAGTGCAATGATCAGTAGAAGGCAGCACACATGAGACCCACATAGCTGAGGCTGAATCTTAATTCTGACCCTCACAAACTGTTTGAACTCTGTGTTTACTTTTCTGCAAGTGGCAATAATGAGACCATTGTTGGTTAACTTTATATATGAAACTTTAAGATCATATAATAATAGGCACAGTTTATGGTTGATCTGCCTACAATATTTTGTACGGTTTAAATTTTAAACTAAATTCTACTGCTTTTTAAGTTTTGATCTACATCAGACACTGTTAGAAACACAAAGAAAAAGCATCTTTGTCAGAAAGGTTTGTTTATTGGAGTTAGAAAGTGGATTGCCACCTTCCTAGGAAGAAACATTCTCTTTCTGTATAAGCTAGCTGATTTGAACAGAGGAATGACCTGTGTCTTTCCAAATGATTACTAAGGACATCGCATGTGATTTACCAGGAGTTTGAGCTCTACACCCCCTCAGATTTAGTAATTCAGGATTTACTTTTTGGCCTAGTAAAAGATTAGTAGATAACTAACAGCAGCTCTCTTCCCCTAGCCAGGGTCGAATTTGCATTTTACAGAATGTCCCTCTGCACAAAGCTGGGTGGCCTGTGTGAAACTGACTTGATTGCCTTACCTTCAAAGAAAAGACCAGGGAGCTGCCGGGCTGACTTAACACCACTGTGCTGCAGAAAAGGAAAGAAACACTGAATTCTCAGCACCACCTATGAGGCAGAGTCTCTGAACAAAGCCCTCTGGACTTTCGCTCATTGGCCTCCTCCCCAGTTTCAGACACTGTGTCCCATAAACCCTGCACACTCTCTTTCTGGCAAAGAGTCTGTGCACTATTTCACTGGCTGATAAAAGTAAGAAAACACATAAAAGCAGCTGACTTTTCTAGTTCTCCACCTCGCTTTCAGCAGATCTTTGACAACTGGTCTTCTTCCGCAGTCTCTGATACCTGTAATTAGAAGGAACTTGACCCTTGCAGTAAATGGACTACCTGCTAGACGCCAATGGCTTCAGCAGTAGCCCAGCCAAGTGTGTCGAGAAATTGCTTAGGCTGCCTTCCATTCACTGTATGTCTTAGGACATGGAGTTCCATATGGAATGGAGCTCATATCAAAATTCAGGTTGGCTATAGAGTGAATATGGCTCACACTAGCCACTTACAGAGAACTTACATCATAGCCCAGGCAGACAGACAGCCCAGTCCTCAGAAGTGGTGAACTCAGTGCCTAGTTACAGATGAGCCCACATTCAGTTTCTGACTTACTACATTCATAATATGGACTTCTGGCTTTTGTGTCTCATGTCCTTAGCATGCCCATTAAAGAGTGTTCTGGGTGAGGATGGAACATTGAAGGCCATGCATAAAGGTGGGACATTTCTTAGGAGAAAAAGTGGTCAGCTGAGTGGAAGGAGAGGTAAACGCAATCTTCTGAAAAAGAAAGCAGGCCGACACTTCCCCAAACGCCACTTGCGAGCCTGTGTGCCATCTCCCACAGAAAAACGGCATGCTCTGGTTTGCCCTATGCCCTAATTTGACACAACTGGAAGGCCAGTGTATTTCACAGACCACCTTTAGCATGGAGCTCTCCTCCTGAAAGTAGAGATGCTTCCTCAGCTCAGGCTGCAGGACTCTCTAGCCTGCCCCCATTCAGCTTGCTTCCTGCAAAGATAAAAATAAAAGAGAACCAAATAAAACTATTTTCTAAAACCATACAGCATTTTTTTTGATGTTTTAGAATAAGAGTTGGAGATGGAGAGATGACTCAGCACCTGAGCATACTCAGTGTTCCTGCAGAGGACTCAGTTTCAGTTCCAGCACCCACACTGGGCAGCTCACAATGGCCTGGTACTTCAGTTTCAAGGGATCCGATTACTTCTTCAGGCTTTCTTAGGCACACGTGTGTACATGGCACACAACATCTCACAACAGCACACAATGTACAGATACATACCAATAAATCAGCAAATCTTAAAATAAGCGATGCATGTTTTCACAAATTAGCCTGGTGTTAGTGCTTGTCTTGGTACTACATTCCTTCTTAAAACTATGCCAGAAAGGACCATGTAGTCTCTGCTTTTATCAAAGGAAATTCTGTTTCAGCTGAAACTGAGTGTCCACAAGTGCATTTATTCCATCTCATTTCTCCCTCTCTCTTTTCTTTCTTTCAATGTCAAATGGTCAGGAACGTAACACGTACTTTCCCATCACCACTGTTTTCAAACTGTCTTCTCTTGCAGCCTGTAGAAAAGTCTACCTTCATTGTAACAATAGAATTTATCTCTATGAAGAAGCCATCATTCTCTTCGCAAAGGTTTCCATCGTCTCTGGCAGTCTAGGACCTGCATACATCTTCTTGGCCTTTTCTATGATGTCTTACAATGTGGTTCAGCCTCGGACTTTCCCATTCTTTCAACGAGCCTTTAAGGACTTCTCTTCTGGTGCTTTTCTTCCCTTTCCCCACTCATTCAGTCTCTGATGGCTTTTTCCAGTTCTTTTCTTGCTGGTACTGTTTCACCTGCATTTTCCCATCTTACTGCATGTGTTCCTTTAAGTTCCCACTCAACACTGTGGCTTCCATTCTCCTGTGATCCAATAGCACTTACTCTCCAGCTTTTCTGAGCCCCAAGTCTTACTCCTGCCCAGGGTAAGAAGTGGCTGACTTGGTCCCAAGGGGCTTAGAGAACCCTTGGAGGTGACAGAACTACTATGTATCTTAATTATGGAAGTGGCTGTATAATCATGTTTCTGTCAAATTGATGTGACCAGCGCATGCATGCACACACACACACACACACACACACACACACACACACAAGTGCATGCAACCATACTCAAATATGCACACATGTCTAAGCTATGTCTTCACAGTATATGTGTGTGCATTTGAGATGTTATAGGTTGGCATGAATTTATAACTGTAACACTGGAAGTTAACTACATCTATGATGAACCTTTATATGATACTGACATAAATATTTTGTAAGTTGATTTGGAAGTGCTTTTCTTTTACTGGAATGAATGTGGTTTTTCAGAAATTGATTATATAAGCAAAATAGTTTATAGGATTTTAGGAACTGGGGAGGGGGCATGCTGTCTGCAGACACTGAAATTATTCACTATCAGTATGAGAAGAAATCTCATAGATGATTCTTCTCAGTGCTTTCGTTTTGCAGAGAAGTCCATGACTTCCTAGTGCCCTGGTGAAGCTCAATGTCACAGAGTCAATTAAGTGCCGGTGCCAAAAAGACATCTTACTACCTTAATTTTAGTTCCTTGTTCTTCTCCCTGCATCCCACACAGGTTAATCTGTGCTGGTTGTCTCTGATGACTGCTCCTGAGCTGTGACTGCAGGTAGCAGCACTTGCAAATAAAGATCTCTAATATTTATGAGTTTGCTTGAGACCTGCGTAAATCTTTCTTCCTTGTTGCCTGTTTAAATTGAAATGTTTCTTAATTACTTTTAAACATCATCAGATCGTAGCATTTTAATAATTTAATCTGCTTTCAGCAACATGAATTTTATTGCTAATCTGTATTTGATTTAAGTGCAATCCTGGCCCATAACAATAAGTAACATCTGTGGTTAACTACCTGTCACAACCTCCATTCTGAGTGGTTCCCAGGAGGGAAGTGCTAGATCCTGGTGTCTACTGGGGTCAGAGATTGTCCATCATGGGGAATTACACAATCATTACCATGCTCCTTTCTTAGCTCACATCTCATCCTACAGGGATATGTACCCAGGCATGTGTGCAACGATGCCCGACTGCTGTAGTGGAATCGCTGAAGACTCGTTTCACATAAATGATCAACATAGTGGATCTTCTCCCCTGTATTGCCCTCTCGCCTGCTAAGGCTGAAATGTTACCTGAAGGGTTTTGGAAGCTCATCAAGGAAGATACCATGGCCACAGGGAAGAACTTCTCACATAAGTGGCATTTCAACATCTGCTTGCGGGTGCCTGTGAGTCAAAGTTGCTCCCAGAATGTTGCCTCCCAGGAGCAGTGGCTTGGACCACCACCTGGAGGAGATTGAAGAGGGAGTTTCTGGGGTGGGGGGTGTTTGTAAGCAGCCAACTGAATACTCTCGGGACCAAGAAACTATGAGGCAAAGAAACTCTGCATCTGTGGGGTGTGTGTGTGTGTGTGTGTGTGTGTGTGTGTGTGTGTGTGTGTCTTGTCTGTCTGTCCGTCTGTTTGCGGATGGCTAGTAAATGGGATGCCATTTTACATGCTATCGTAGCAGATAGGCTCTACAAGGCCAAAAATCAAGCTTGTTTGGCCTATATTTAAAACAATAGTTTTGGGGCCGGGCGGTGGTGGCGCACGCCTTTAATCCCAGCACTCGGGAGGCAGAGGCAGGCGGATCTCTGTGAGTTCGAGGCCAGCCTGGGCTACAGAGTGAGTTCCAGGAAAGGCGCAAAGCTACACAGAGAAACCCTGTCTCGAAAAACAAAAACAAAAACAAAAACAAAAAACAAAAAACAAAAAACAAAAAACAAAAAAAAATAGTTTTGTAAAACTTTAAATTTTGTGATATCAGACATTGAGTCTGTGACGAGAGGCCCAATTTCAAGGAGCAGGAGTGGTTTACAAAACTCAACCTGTTAATACCATTTGAATTTTTTCTTCACATTTTGGCAGCTCCATTTTGATATTCGAATCCTCTAAGATAGTTTACATTTCAAATGTTCAAATTCTTAGCTCCCAAATTTTATTTCATTCAATTCTATAGTTTGTATTCTATCTTTTTATTAATACTTCCATTTTATGATACACAATTCTCTTGACCTCTTTCAGGCTGTAACCCAGGGGTTCTTTTTGGAGTGTTGAGATCTTTTTAAAAGCCTTTATTTTTGTCAAAAAACTATTCTCTGACACTTATTAAAGCGCATTAAAGAGGATCTTTTCCTGGATCATCAGCAATAGATATGAGGGCCAGTGAACCAGAGTCTCTGGAGAGATGAGACTTTTGGGGTCAAGTCCAAACACTGCACTAGAAAGTGGGAAAAGACAAGAAGAAAAATAGAGGTCAATTAATAGAAAGTTACTGCAGGAAAAGAAAACATACGAAATGTAGATTCTGAAAAACACAACTTCACAAGATTCTTAGTGGTGAGAAAAAGCCAAGCTTAAAAGTCAGGCAATGGCGCCCTCTAGTGGAAAGTTCATTCAGTAACGCGACTTAAGCATGCTGCTTTTTTGGTATGGCACTCCCACCCTCTTTTCACTCAAATGGCTCAGAAAGACTTTTACTATCATGGATCCCAGTGTTCTGTCATTTCCCCCGTGCGTGTTACTTGCCCGTTAAGATAGGTCTGTCCAGACAGTGAGGGACAAAAACGCAGGATAGTTAGCAATGCCTGCAAAGAGAGTTTATTGAGAAAAGAGGGGATCCTCTACTGGTTTTGGTGTATGAGTGAAAGTGGCCCCATATGTCTGAGTTTGTCTGGTTTATTTTTTGTATTTTTCCGATCATGCACTGTCTTTTTCTGTTGTTCTCTGTTGTCTGTTGGATTTGTGTTTTTTAAGTTTTTTTGCAGAGATGGGAATCGAACAGCCAAACTTCCCCTAAGCTGCATGCAACATTTTCAGGATTTCCGTGCTCCTGGCTGCCTCTACGCCAGCTCCAGCTCCGCACTGAAGCCTGTTCTCTCTCTGTCCCTCTCATTGGCTTGCAGGAACCTGCTGGTTAAGAACCATCAAGTACTTCTCTACGCCCTTCTGTTTGAGAACCTTTTCCTTCACTCTGCTTCTGAAGGATGTCTTTTTCTAGGTTGTCCTGTCTGCCAGCTGGCTCCTGTCTCTGATCATGGAGCTCTGACTGCGGCCACTCCCTCACCGCTGGGTTGGGGTGATGTGGCATCCCTGGTGGGCACCATAAGTGCCCACCAGACTCCCCCCCCCTCGTTCCACCGCCAGCGGTTCTCTGTGCTGCTGCAGCTGGCCTGCACCCAGAACTTCTTATCTCTAAGCCTTCTTTGTACTCTGCTTGCTCCGTCTCTCACTCTGATAACTTGGATTTGGTTTTGCAGGAATTAGGGGTCTTTTGGGTATGGTTAATATCGAAATATTGTTTTATGGTGTTCTACTTGATTAAAAAAGCTGGCTCTGGAGTTGGGATGTGGCCTCCCTCTTCCGACCCAAGCATGATTGTTTAAAAATTTCCTCCAAATTTTCTGTTCTGGGTCAGAAGGCCATCTGACTCTAGGACAAAGAGAGAAAATAAAACAGCTCCAAAGAGGACACTATGCACTTTTTAAAAAATCTAAAATATAAACTTTATATACCTTAAGATTGTAAACTAATTGGATATGGCTAAAACCCTGCAAAACAAAAATCAGTAAAGAAAACAAAAACAACCTAATGCCAACATTTTCTGAGTTCCTGTGGATGTTTGTTTTTTGTTTGTTTGTTTGTTTTATTATCATTTTCTGTTTTATATCCTCTAGGTTACAGATACTTACATTATTCTACAACTTAATGACTTTGTAAGATAAGGAATACTTATCAAGCTTTTCACATTGTCTGCCTCCATCTGCAGACACACACACAAACTGGTTATAAAGCAAAATCTTCTGTCTAAAATCTCTCAATAATAACTCTAGATATGCTTGCTTGAAATAATCAGAGCTGGACTTGTTAAAAGTTAACGTTCTTCAAAAGAAGGAAATAAGCAAGGTTAACTGAACTTCACCGAAGAATCCAGACTCCTTTTACCTGGTTGTATGCAATTAGGCCCTAATTGCTTGAAGTCTAAAGGTTTTCTGGAGAAACTGGGTTTACAGGATAAAAACAAGAATAAGGATGGGTTCCACCTAGTAACAATGGAAATGCTGTTTTATATGCTGGGTAAGAACTCCAGACATTGTCTAACACCCTTAGGAACAAATATCTTATAACAAAGGAAAATTAATTTGTCACTGTAATGTCTCATGTTATTTCATTTTTTTTAAAAAAAAAGGACTTCTCCCCACCTTTCTTGGTTCTTGTTCATAAAAATTGTTCCCCCAGTCAAGATCATAGATGTTCAAAACTCTTTCTAAAATGTAAACCTTCTCTTGGGGTCTCTAAGACCATTGGGGGTGTGGTGGCAGGGGAAACTATAAAATTCAAAAACGTTAGCTTGAAACTTGTAACGAAAAGGTTAATAACTAAAAATCTGTGCACGGGTAATCTTAATTTGGTGGTGTGTGCTTATATGTAACTTGAAATCACATCTGTTTATCTTCTAGGAGACAATCACAGGTCCTCATGACATTGTGAATTAAGATAGACTTTTAGATGATGATTTTTGTTCTGAAATTTTAAAATAAAACATAATGCGTGTTTAATAACTAAAACATATTTGATGAATAAGGTTTGTAAATTCCTAAAGTGTACTCTGATTCACAATCACTGATTTAAAGACATACATCTAGCCTGTTTGTCTTTGCTGACTTGGTCAAGTTTTAACTACCCGGATAATCTGAGTAATATAAGAAATTATAATATTCTGTAATGGCATACTGTAAAAATAAAAATAAATGAAATTTATAATCTCTTTATGGGCTATATTTATGGTTTTATAAAACTTCCAGTCTCTCTATGGGCTACACTTATGATCTAAAATTTTATTTTGATACTGAGAGCTTCAATTTGAAAATTACAATATTTAAGGTTAAAACTTACAGGGATAAAACTGTAAAATCCTAATCTTATTAAAGCTGCTAGCTTCTTAGAAACTACTGAGGACAATTATGCAATTAATGTTCAGTCATCTTACAAATGATCAAATTCTTTAATGTGCTCAGAACAATGCTTATAATTATGCTAAGTACAAGTGTAATTTATTTTCAGGTACAAGTTTTTCTTTAGCCTCCTGTATATGCTTTCAAGGTTAAGCCTAAAGCAAGTAACTGAAAACAAGTGAAGTTTGTTTAGCTCAGATATACTTAATAGATAATGGTCCTCAAACTTGTCAGAGAACTGCTGAATATACTATTTAAAATGCTTAATGAAGAAAGGTTACTATGACAGACAGACCAAGACACCAGTTCTTAGTGGTGACCCCAAGGTCTCCAAAGGAGATGTTGAGACATATTGACTCTACCTGGGGTGTGGTAAGACTAACCATTGGGCAAAACTGCCCCCAAATGCCTTACCTGCCACCAGGACCTTGCCCAAACTGTAGACAAGCAGGACACTGTAGAGTTGATTGTCCCACTATGCCTAGACAAAGTAAAGTCAGTTGCCCAAGTTCCTTCTACACAGGAAAGCCTCTCAGGTCTTCTGGACCTGGTGGCTGAACACTGAGGCTGTTCTGGGACCTCTGCCCCCAAGAAAGCCATCAACACCACAGGAATGAGGTGGGGTGACCATCTAGGTAATGGGCAAGTCTCTGCCATTTTAACTGATATAAAGGCCATTTGGATTATACTTTCAGTTATAATTTATCCTTCTCAGATCTCTGATGGCATTGATGACTAGACTGGCTAACTTTGTCAACTTGGCAGCAGCTGGCACACAGCTCCTCCCTCCAAGGCTGCAGTGTTGATGTAACCAACCGTCTTATTAAATAAGAAACACAGAACCAATGTAAAAGAGAAAACCGAGAGGTCAGAGCTCAGAGCTAAAATCTCACCCTTCCTCCTGCGGTGGTCTTAGCTTCCCGAAAGAGAGCTATTTGCTGTGTGTCTATCTTTTCATA